CTTCATGCTCTGCGCCCGGGCAAACCGCTCGCCTGCTCGTCTACCTCCAAACTTCGGTTCTCGCCTAGCAAAAAATGTGGAGATTAGGATTTTTTTAATTAAGAAAAAAATTTTTTTTTTAAATCAAGCTCTCCAAAGCTGTTAATTCCTGTTTCCTTTGGGATTCTTTTTAACTTCATAAATGTACTGGTTTATTCAAGAAACAGGTTTATTATTATTTTTAATTAAGATCTACAAGATGCGTGCTATTCTCCGCAGGCGCCCTGCACACACACACACACACACACACACACACACACACACACACACACACGTTTTAGCTCGAAGTGTAGGGGGGGTGTTTAAAAAAAAACAGTGTTTAGAACTCTATTTAGAACAAGCCCTAGTAAATACTTCTTTGCATATGCTTAAAAAAAAAAATCTAAAGGGTCAGTTATTTCGCAAATAACTGATTTATTCTAACTTTTAAATGTACTAGGCTTTCCTTTGCAACACCCACTTTTTCCATTCCCAAATGCTGTGAAACTTTATCTGTGAAACCTGTATGTCAACATTAAACAGGAAAAAACAAAACAACTTTAGCGGCCAAGGTGTAGGTGAGGAACTGAGTAAGTTCCACTCAAAACATCCAGTTCCTACTGCCTTCTCTTTGTATGTAGATATCCTTTATCAACACATTTGTGGAACTTTCATTACATAATCCCATTTTAAAAAGGGAGCCACTCAATCTTTTAAGTGTAGTTACCATCCATTTTAAATCTCCAATCTCAGTTTGGAGATATCTCCATAAACTAGCTAGCTCCACAGCATTTAAGTAAATGTTAACTATGATAGTGGATTGGGAGAGGGTGCTTTTGTGGTCTAGGTTAACTACATTTATTTTTCCTGTAAATGCCCACAAAAATATAGTGGGGATTTTGTTGTCTTAGTTTAAATAAACATAAAGGATAGGTAAAAGACAAATTGTAATGTAATGTAATGCTGATTTTAAAAATGCATGTATAAGTCTCAGAAATGTTCTAAAATTATCATAGTTTGTAATTCATATAGCAAAGGGTTCTGCTGATAAAAAATACTCAAAACCATGTCCCGCAGATACTTAGTGAGTTCTAAATAAAATTATCCCTAGATTTAATTTACATGACATTGTTTAGTTTCTACATCCCCTTAGAATATGAAATGGTAATAACGGTGCACCTTGCCTGCTTATACAAAGATACGGTAACTATATTGCACAAAATAAATGTTAAGGTAAGCATAAATGTTGTCATATTCAAGATAGAAAATCCTTTTTAAAAAAGAAAACCATATTTTGTTCCAGTAACTGCCGCTGTCATTCACAATGTGTGCTTTGTATTTAAATATTCCTTAAAAATACATTCAGTGATTTCAGTATCACATATTATCCTTGAGGTGTTTTCTCACATGTTGTACTTCTCATTCAGCCAAGGCCTTCCTGGAACAGTAGTCTTTGCATAAATTAGCATATTTCTCTGCACTTGACAGTTGGACCAACCAGTTTTCTAATTGGCTTGGGAAATTTTTAAACATGTTTTAAAGTGCCTTTGGATTGGTTGGAATTTAATTATAATGCCCATTTTGAAGAATTACATTTCAAAAGAGTCCATGTATTATTGCAATTAGGACCAACCAAGCAAGTTTTACAGCTGTTGCTCCATAGCTCCAATGAAATATTAATGGATTTCAGAAAGCTATTCTCCCAAATTTGCACAAACCCCAAAGAAACACAAATCTGACTTTAAAAGATCGCCAAACAAAACAATTCATATACCCGTAAAGAGTATACATATTGCAGGCTTTTTAAAGAATGCTCAAATATAAGAGCACTGACATTTACTGAAGGTCTACTAAGGGCCACCTAGATCCTTAAATACATTATTGTATGAACCTAATGAAAACCTGTACAATAAGGCTTAGTTATCCTGATTTTGAAGATGAGGCTCCCAGTGGTTTCAGTAATTTGCCTGGAGTCATCGGTCTAACAAAGGTTGGTGGAAGAAACTCAAGTCAGGTTGATACAAAAACTCATCCTCTCTTCAAGTCCTGAAAAGGATCTTGAAAACAAGAAGTCTTCCCTGTTTGAAAATAAACAGGGTTCAGTACTGTGGTGTAGGCAGAGGGGACATCCCTTTGCTTACCTGAAGACCTACTTCGAGAATGCCAGTTGTCAATCTAATTTTACATTTTGAAGGGCTGCAAAATATTGGTATAGCTGTGGGGAGAATTTCAGATTCACCAGGCACCACCAAAATTGAAATCATTTAATATAACAAACAAAAACAACTTAATTTTCCCCATGTGATTAAAAACATTTTAAATAAGGGATACACCTATGTAAAATTTTAATTATGGTTTATACAGACAGAATTTGGGTACCTGAGTACAAGATTAGGAAACTTTTTAAGAGGAAAATTCTTAAACTGGTTTGACTATATACACATAAATTTAATTGTATTGCCTATAATTTAATTATGTACAATTAAATGGTTACTTCTATGGTTCTCATCTGTCTAGGTGACCTAGAAAGAAGGGCAATTGGACACAGGGAAAAAAAAAGATGTAATTAAAGTTGAAATAAACAGGCCCAATGTCCACATAACAATTAAAAGTGAAAATTCTTCTGTTTTGTGTGTGTGTGTGTGTGTGTGTGTACACGCACGTGCCCCCTCCAAATGTTCCCCTTGTTAGTTGGCCATTCTCAGAGGGGGAAAATGCAAATTCTCAGAGGGGGAACTGAGGTGGTGATTCGCATGACCAGATGTGTCCAGATCACAGAAATAGCAATATACCAGATGAGTGTTCTATGTAGAGTTTGTGAAATAAAAATTTAAGAATTCTCAATGTGCATAAATAAGGTGTATATCTTTATTTCTACCTCTAGAGGAACTTACATTACAGGGCTTAAGTGCACTGGTTCTGTAACTCAGACTGACCTGGGCTCAAATTCCACCTGTCATACACCAAGTGTGTGGCTGTGGGCAAGTGACTTTACTCAACTTCCTCATTATGGGGATAATAACAGTACTTATGTCTGAAAGTTATTTTAAGGATTCAGGAACTAGTGTATGTAAAAAGTTTAGCATGTCACCTTATTTTAGTTGTGTGTCAGGCTGAATCATGTGAACTCTTCCTGTGTAAATTCCCAGTGGCAATCTCATATGATTCAACCTTATATACCTCTCTTCTGTTCCCTTATGGATAGGGAACTCCTCAAGGGCTCTCCATTTTCTAAGAGCCTAACAGAGTACTTTGGACATACTTACGTCACAATCAATACTTGCACAATAAAAGAAAAACAGCTCCGTCCACAAAGATGTGTAAGAATACAAGAAATGAGTATATCTCTACCTAGAGCCTTATATATTAAGGGAGTACAGTAAATCTCCCTGAAACACATAAAACCATTGTCCAATTGATCACAGGCAGTATAGTCTTATGGTTTAGAGTTCTTCCCCGACCCCCATCAATTAGAGCTTTATCACTGCCACTTTTTAGCCATGTGATCTTGGCCTACTTTAACTTCGCTCCCCTCAGTTTTCTCATCTGTAAAATTAAAGTAACAATACCTATATCTCAGGTTGGTAGGGGAAAAGTTAAATGACATACAAAACCCTGCCTTTAGTGCCAGGTATATAGTAAATACTCAGCAATAGTTGCCATTAATGTTGTGGTTAATAATACTATTATCAGAGGTAAAATGGAATCATTTTCAAAGCAATGGTAAACAAGCAATTCATTTAGAGTGATTACAAATGTTTTCAATACTTTGCCTACATATTATTTTATTTGATGCATGAATATAAACACTTAAATCATTTTTGTAGAGACTAAGGCTATTCTAGTCATGACATATTTCAAGCTGGTTATTTTCCTTGACAGACTTAAAAAAAATCTGAACTCCTACAAGCTTTTGGTACAAGGATAAGGAGTATAAGCAGAACTGTTAAGAAAAAAAAAAAAAGAGGCATTCAGCACTCCCACTCTTACACATCCAGCCTGTTTCCCCACAGAGTATGTGAGGGGGAGGACAGTCATCAGGTTAGGAGGGCACTACCTGCTGCTGGAAGGCCTGGCTGGGAGGTGTCACCTACCAGCTCCCAGGCCCCTGTGGTGCTCTACCAGAACTCCTAACCTCTCCAAAACAGAGCATTCCTTCCACTCCACCATACCCCCGAGGATGGTGGATTATAGAGGCAGTAGAAGAGAGGTCTCGTAGGCTGTAGGGTGCTACTATAAAGCACCCTCAGAATTTGGTGAGAAAGTCAGCCTCTAAGATAGGGTACTCATGTAAAGGGGCTTGCTCAATAAATGTCAGTGTCCTTTAGGAAAATAAAACTACCAAGAGGTAACACATCTGAAAGAGGAAACACCCTAAAATATGACTCGTAAATACAAGTTGAAGACAAAGAAATATGTAGGCACTAAGCAGGCACCAATACTGGAAAAACAACAACAACAACAACAACAAATGGAGGGAGTATAACCTCCACAAGTATTTTGATCACTCAAGAGCCACATTCTTATTTGAGCACATACAATCCAGCATTTTAAGTGTCTACATGAAATAGCCCTCAGACCATACAATTCTCTTTCCTAAATCTTGTCATTACTAGTTCCATTTCTTAGGTACTCTAATACTATAAAGGTGACACCCTGAGCAAAGTACTCTTGTACCCCAAAAAGTTTATACATGTCCCTCACTGTGAATCATATTGATCAACTAGCTATTAGATGTATTTACCTGTCCTCTGTGAGCCAGGTAAACACAGGTCTAAGACAATCAGGAGATTGTTTAGAGATGGGCAATCAAAGCAAAGGACCTGTATGCTCTTGAGGTAGAGTTACATGGGGCATGGTGAAAACTCAATGAATTACTCTTGCTAACCATGGGCAGAAACCAAAACTCAAGTAATTATCTCCCCTTCTGAGTCTCTTGCTCTGTGTTCATAGACCAAGCCCCTAGGTTTTCTGGATTGTCTATGCTTTCTTCTCATTCCCTCATCTCCCTTAAATCGTGCAACCCACCTCCAAAACCTGCCTCAA